CTAGATGCACTTCGCATTCGGCGTGCGATCTCAGCGTCTGGGACCTGATGAAGTCTTGGTTGGATGATTATTCAAGCCTGATACTACTCGACACACCAATGTACATGTCAATATAATTTTTTCAGAGCTGCACTATTTACGTGTTGATGCTTACTTCGGTGTTAGCGTGTTTCCCCCGGATTGTTTCTATCATCATGATCGTGTGTTCTTGGGCTGAGCGAGCACATGCACAAGTGTGCAGCTATAACCCTGTGTATCTTTGGTTACACTTTGTTCTGCAATGCATGTACCTTGTAACATTATGTGCTTGCACTGCTTTGTCGGGCCTGCGTATTTCAGGACTATTCAGTGCATTAGACCCAGGTTTGTTTGGTTGCCGGATGATCTCTTGTGGCGTCGCTCTGTATTATTTTGTATTCATCAATTTTTGGGCTTGAGAGTTGAGCTGTTGTGTGGTTCTCAATATGAAAACATCATGCTGGTGCTCTGTGTTTCGATTATCGACTGTCGGAGCAGTCATGCATTTATTAGCAGAACGGTCAATACTGTAGTCTTTTCACGTGTTTGTATTTTTTGTGTTTTCGCCGGGGGTGTTAGCGGTAACGCTGCACACAGAACGGCAGTGTTGCATCACTGGACGACCCTGCTACTGCATCTGACTTAATTTCCCCAGGATCTGGTGCAGTTACACCAGACAGCCACTTCCTGTAAACACGCAAACAGCAAAAGAAGAGATCCCGCAAATCAGGAAAACCATTGTGGAAAATATAGAGTAGATCATACAACATTCAATAATCTGGAGTAATTGCAGTGAGACAAACACTTCAAACAGTGCTCTCTCTCTCTCTCTGTCTCCATCCTTCCAAAAATACCCTATGACAATTCCCCAGCATTATTTTATTTTATATTCTTAGGACATCATTCTGAACATAATAAATTCTTCCATGGGTCTTCAATCACCACGGAGGGCGAAGATATATATCTAAGTCATGCAGTTTACGGGAGGTGCGAGCTGTCATGGATTATAGAGGCTGATATTGTGCCAGCGTGAGGGCAGAGACAGAAAGAAGACACTGATTTCTTGAACAACTCACCTATATAATTATAATCGAATCCACAAGGAGCGCTCATACTTTGATCCATCAGGACGTGAAACATCTTCAAAGCACTCTCAAACACGGAGTTTTACTGTGGGCAGCCAATTTCACAGCCATCATGAAGGCACTCGACAACTACAGGAGTTTTGTAGAGGAAAGAACAAGGAGTAAAGAGCGACAACAATCGCTTGAAGAAAAAGCAAAGAAAAACTGCTGTCTCTCCAGTCATTTAGATGCTGTTGCCCTTGACATCTGGTTCCATCCAGAGGACGCGACTTTTGTTTGTCCCCAGTGCTCTCCGTTGCTATGCGTATCGAAGGAGCCGTGACGTCACACTTAACAGCCCCATTAATTGCAGCCAGTCGCAAGCACGGTACTCGTACCAGTGCGAGTACTGATTACGATGATGCCGTTCACAAGGGAGTAGTAAAATACCTACTCCGCGCCCAGCTCACAATCGATCGATTTGGTTTCTTTTTTTTGTTGCGCGATCGATCGATTTTGCGCGATCGATCGATTGTTGCGCGATCTGTCGATCGACAGATCGCGCAGCAAAATCGATCGATGTGGCAGATCCATAGATGGCGCACAACACACACATGGAGCAGCACCTTACCGGTACAGGTGAAATATCGTTCCCAATACACGAGGAAAGTGCAATCTCGTCTGTCCTTCATCCCAAAACAGAAGGCCGTCCTTAATCTGGAACGAGGCAATAGCTTTCAACCGGACGGTCACTTCAAAATAAGTCTCGCCAGTCTGCCCGTGGTCGTATCGAGTAGACTCTACTACCAGCACAAGGCAGCAGTCGTACCACTCACTGCACTGCACTGCAGTACAACTACAAGTCAAGTCCAAAAGGAGCCGCCTAGCGCGCCTGCGTCCGCAGACGTACACTCACGCTGCACAGCACGTAGACGTGGACGTGTTCAGTCCACGTACGTCAGTCACACGATCGACAGCCCGCCGAAAAAAAGTTACGGTCGGGCTGAAAAATGTACGGTCGGTCGGGTGAGTCGAACCACAGACCTTCTGCAGTGTGGCCTTATCATAAGATTCCCAAGCACCTATCTTGACCACCCGTACCCAGACACCACTGGCACCATGCAGGGCCGGGAGAGATCCGATCTTCTGAGCCAAAAATGATTTCCTGACCCCAAAAAAAGTAGCGCCACCATGTTAGTGGCTATGACAACACCAGTGCATGCAGCTAGCTGAGCTTGTAGTTGTACTGTTGTAGCTTGTCCGTGCTGCTGAGTACATCTACGAGTGCTGTGCTCATGCCTTTTTCATGGTGCTTTTTTTGGCGAAGGACTTTTCGGTGCATCACCATGGTCACGCCACGCAACAGCTTCGACCCGGCGTCACCTTTGTACCTAGGCTAGGTACCTACATTGCTACAATGTACAATGTAGCAAGCTACAGTACTCAGTAGACTCACGTCGAGTTGGAGCAAACACGTCGTTTTCAACATCAGTTCGCTTCACACCATCCGTGACAAACATGATGGACAGTTCTGGAGTTTTGTTGCAGCTTTTGGCAACGACCGGAACAAAAAGAGCAAAACTGTAAGCCATGGTAAACTAGGAAGGGAGATGACCCTTCACAGCCTGAAGGATTTCACTTGAAAAACTCGGCTGACAACTAACTTGAAGCAGGAATGATGGAGTGGAGTACACTTCAGTTGAATGTGGTTCCTGCTGGCCTTGCGGATGAATTCAGCGTACCAGCAGCAGGGCAGGGAGGATGGATCAACAAGAGGAAGTCTGAAGTATCGACAGCCTCTCACTGTTTCATACGGTAAGAGCTCAGTAAGCATAATTATACTGCGAGTCTTTATGGAAGTAATAATTGTTGGTAGGACGTGTGCCTAATGTTTTGATTGATTGCAATCGCCTGCCCACAGCTAAACTAAGCCAGGTCTGCTGGTAGCTGCACGTGCAGTGTCGACGTGCAGCACAGGTGTCTCAGGATTATTGTATGCTTGGAGAGCAGCTACAGTTCATGCTCAGTAAAATCCAGTCGAGTCACTCAAGTACACTCTGGGCGTTGCGCAACCCTTCAGATGGCCTTCTAGCTTTTGGCCATAAATGCGTCAAACTTTGAGCTTTTGTAAGAATTGTCCTGCAGTCTCCTATGGAATGCGAAGAACTGTGGTTCAGTCTCGTAGACTAGACTGTTCATATTTTAATGTACTACAGTCTATGCACAGTTGAGCCAGCGTGTATACATTGCTATGCTGTCCTTGGTGACATTCTAACCTGGTCGTTCTTAAGCTGTGTTCACAACTGGCGAGTGGACGCGGTACGCTTGCGGTTCATGCGCCCTGTGGTAAAACACTTCACTTTATACTTGTACAATCATGCACACACTGTCGCGGACAGCTGGCCAGCAGCTGCCGCGACAACTTCAAGATGGGAGAGAGACCTGGTTCGTTGTCACTTCTTTCACCACATAAAGAACCCTGCTTGGAGAGAGAAAACTACCGAGAGAAGGACACGAAGCACTACAACAGAGCGCTCCGAAAAAGGATTCGCTCGCACGGCAGCGTACGCATGCCGTGCCAGCGTACTGTGTGCAAAAATGTGAAACCAAAAATAGATTATCATGATTTTGCTGCGTGCAAAAGCCAGCCAGTTTGGGAAGTGCATCGTACGCGCGTAGCGATCCCGCTATCGCGTATCGCGGCTCCAATGGAGCGCTGCCAGTGCGTGCATGCAAAAAAGGAAAATAAATAAATCAGAAAAATGCAGTTCAAATAAATCGACAGTTCGATCGAAGAGATCATAATTCCACACATGCAATTCATTTCAGAACAAGATTATAGAGCGAAGCTAGTCATGTGTCAAGCTACCTCACTACAAATACTTACTATACCTAGAACTTAGCTATGGGCAGCGGACCTGGACCCTATCGCTCCTGGGATATACCTTAGGTAAGAGTGCGACGTAAAGACAAATTGTAAATACTGTAAATTCAAATTGCACTCTTCTTGGCCGCTTGCCGCTTGCCTCTTGCTTTCACTTCTGTGCCGCCGTGCACTGTACCGCCGTCATTTTGGATTAGCTGCTGATCATTATCTGCAGCGCCGTTGTTGTTTGTTACCGTGCCGCCGTCCGCCGAACCGTTGCTTGCCGAATCGTTTTTTTCATTGTTTTTTCCATTATTATTAACCCATTGAACGCTGATGACGTCTATAGACGTCATTGAAAATGCCCCCCATGCGCGGGATGACGTCTATAGACGTCATGGGATATATAGTGATTTCTGGCACTATTTGGTGTGTAAAAGCACTGTTAGTCAGTTGGATCATGATCCTGCCTCTTGTACGATAGGTCGTTGGTTCGAATCCCGCTTGGAAACACTGCGCGTCTTTTTTTCTTCTCTTTTCAGCGATCTTTTAGCTGCAATTTCACGCATTTGGCGTATTTCACGCAATTTGAGCAAACTTGCGTCCCCTATTGTGAGGCGCTATTCTTTTTGGGGACTGTATCGATTCTGTCACCCTGTGGTTGATAGTCTTGGCAATCCTTTCCAAAATATTTGAGGACCCCAGTTGCCAGAACCCTGGAGTTTTAGAACTTGCTATTGGCCCTGTTTTTAGCATTTTATATGCAGAGCACCATAGGCAAGGCCCAGTAGCGCTGAATGGGTTAATATTCAGTTCCATCGGGTACAGCAAATTGAGTGGTCGCCTTACCGTCTTGGCGCTTGGCAATTCAACTGTTGCTGACCTTACATTATTGTCGTTGCTCCGGTGTATTTTGTTAATTTTCCCAATTTTCCAAGTGCCGCGTGGCATCCTTTCCTCTTTCACTAGTACGATATCCCCTGTACTTGGCTCACGCTCTACGGCACCTCGCTTCTCGGGCAGCCGGTAACTTCCACGTTCACGCAAACTACTCAGATAGCCGGTCTGCCACAGTTTCCAAAAGCTGGAAAGGATAGTGGCACCAACACGATACGTTTCCACCAAAGTCTGCGCCGAGCTTTGCTGATTATTATAGTCAGTATCGTCCATTACACTAATTGCAGGCACCCCTAGCCTGGGATTCATTGTTACAAAATGAGATGGGGTGAGGATATCGTCACCATCCACCATGTCTCCCACATACAATAGTGGCCGCGTATTGACTATTGCTTCCGCTTCTGCAAGAACCGTGGTTAATTCCGTTGTGGACAAACATTTTCGACCAATTGACTTACGCAGGGCGCGCTTAACGACCTGCACCATTCGTTCGTAGATGCCGCCCATCCAAAGGGACAGCTCCACAATGAATGTCCACCTAGATCCAGTAGCACTTAAGTATGAATGTACATCTGCATCTTGCGAAATTGTATCCCACAAAAGTTCTATTGCTTCCTTAGCCACTTTAAACTGCAATGCATTATCCGACAATATTCGATTGGGTGTTCCTCGTCTTGAAACAAATCTTCTCAATGCAAGCATAAATGCAGCAGCAGTCATGTCATCGACTAATTCCAAATGTACTGCTCTAGTAGTTAGGCAAGTGAATAAGCAAACCCATACCTTAGTAGTTACTCCTGATTGTTTCACGTACATTGGCCCAAAGTAGTCCAAGCCGGTATACGAAAAGGCACATGATGTAGTTAACCGATCGCGTGGTAGGGGTGCCAGCCGTGGCATTTTGAATGGGCCACCCTCTGCCTTGCGACATACATTGCATTGTTTAAGGATACGCTGCACCGTTGACCGTCCTTGCGGTACCCAATATTCAGTACGAAGTAACATCAGTGTATGACTCGCACCGCCATGCATTAGCCGTTTGTGACATTCTTCAATTAGCAAAGTTGTGATTATTCCGTGTTTGGGTATTAGGACTGGGAATTTAGACCGTAGCGGTATATTTGCATTTTCCAGCCGTCCTTTGCACCGCATTATTTCGTTTTCATCCATGAACAGGCCGAGTTTGTTGGCTAGATCATTTCGCTTTCCCTTCTGAATTAACTTGAGCGTGTCTGGAAATTCCGTACGTTGCAAATATCGTAGCCAGACCATTGTAGCATTCTTGATTTCTTTTGATGTGAGAAACCCATTACATTTATTACCACGCATACGTTCTATGGCTCTCAAAACATATGCTGAGACACGTATCAGCTTTCCCCAAGACGAATACCTTTCTAAATTCATTATCATCGGGTACTCCGTAGGACCCTCCGCCGCCGCCAGTAAGGTGTTGGCAGACTTTTCCAACTCCACGGTGTTCGCAGGAATCACCAACACCGATGGCCAACCTTTCTCATTGTTAATCCACTGGGGCCCGTGCCACCAGTTCTTGTTATTTTTCAGTGTGTCCACAGTGGCCCCGCGAGAAGGAGTGTCTGCGGGGTTTTCAGCTGTGTCCACATATCGGTACTCAACCGACGACAGAGACCGGATTTCATTCAAGCGCCGGTCCACAAATGTACCGTGTTTTTCAGGTTTCTTGATCCAATGTAACACACATTGCGAATCAGACCACAGCACCAGCCTGGGTTGTTCCGAGAAATTCAATTGTGAGACTACAAATCGTAACGGCCGAATACCGATCAAGGCCGCCATTAATTCTAGTCTCGGTATTGTTAATTCCTTGATGGGGGCTAGGCGGGTTTTACTAAACACAATATGACAAGAGTCACAACCTGACTGCTTGTTGACAACCGCAAGGTACACACACGCTGCATATGCGGTGTGAGAGGCATCACAAAAACAGTGAAGTGTGTATGTGACTGCCCCTGAGTGTGCGACTGTCATCCGTCTCGGAATTTGAATTTCGTGGATCTGCTTTAGATCACCTGTGACTGCTTTCCATTTATTTATAATTTCTGTTGGGAGGATGTCGTCCCAGTCGCATTTCAATTTCCACAGGTTTTGAATCCGGATTTTCGGTTGCAACAGTATTGGAGATAGCAGGCCCATTGGGTCAAAGAACTTTGAGATGACCTGCAACATTTGGCGTTTGGTCCGAACGATCACGTGCTCAACGTCATGACCGACCAACGAAATCTGATCGGTGGGTGTACACCATTCCATACCAAGTACGGTCATAACCGTGTCGGAAACTTTGTCAAATTCTGGAATGTGAGAGAGGAAGTCGGAATTGTTCGAAGCCCATTCACGGAGGTTCATGGACGCCTGAGTAAACACTTGCTTTGTTTGATCATAAATACGTTTGGCTTCATCTACTGTATTGGCTCCAACAATAACATTATCGACGTACGTGTTACCGAGAATCATCTTCGCAATTTCGTTGTCTGTTCGTTTTAAGTGCGTGTTGATAGTTGCACTCAGCAGGAATGGGCTGGAGATTACCCCGAACGGTATCCTGCAAAACCGATAAGTGACAAGATTGTCCTTGGTGCAAGGCCCATCCAAGTCATCCCACCACAGGAACCGCGTTGTGTCTCGGTCTGCCTCTGCGAGGCCAACTTGCAGAAAGGCTTTCTCGATATCGCTAACAATGGCAATATCATGCATGCGGAATCGAAGTAGCAAACCAGCTAAGTCTGGAAGAAGGACCGGCCCTCTGAGCAGACATTCATTGAGGCTTTTTTGCTCCTTGCTGGATTTGGCGGAGGCATCGTACACGATGCGGACTTTCGTTGTGGTTTTACCCGGTTTGATTACACAGTGATGTGGCAAGTAATGTGCCCGTTGCGTAGTCCCTTCTGGACCGGCATTGGGGACCCGTTCGATTATGCCCATCTTTTCCTGATTTCTGATTGTTTCATCGTATTTGAGTTTGACCTGTGGCTTGCCTGCCCTTCGTTTCATGAGAGACTGCAGGCGACCGAAAGCCAGAGCGAAATTGCGTGGTGGTTCCGTAGCGTCTTGCTTCCGTGGCCACTTGACCTCATACCGCCCATTTTTGAAGTCGACGCTGTTGTCGAAAATCTCCATTGCTTGCTCATCTTGAGATTTATCCTCCAGGGGATCTTCAATGCCAATTGATTCGGTTTTCCAAAAGTTTTCGATGGTAAATCCAGGCATGCTCGTTTCGGGTAACCGTATGCCCGAAACCAACATTACGGGCGCTTCATGATCTTGGCTTTCCATCAGGATTCTCCCCGAGGGGATAAACCCAATTTTAGAGTCTAGGAGCATTAAGCCGTCGTCGAGGCGAATGTGCTCATTGCCCATTACGTCAAAGTAGTAGTCATTGCCGACCAGTAAATCAATGGTTACATCTTCTGCATGCTGGCTGAGCGAGTTCGCCAAATGTACACGATTTAGCATTGGGTATTTCTCAGGGTCGATCGGGTATTTTCTGACCGGACAGGAGATGGTTTGCACAACATTGACCGTGAGGGTTTGTGAGGACCCATCCAAAAACTGTACTTGAATTTCAACCACATTGAGCTGTTGCGATTTGCGCTTACTGTCACCAAACCCCGCCAGGGACAACGTTTCCCGACCCGTGAATTTCAGATTGAGTTCTTTTGCCATTTTCTTGGTAATGAAAGAACGACTGCACCCTGTGTCGAACATTAATCTTGCATTCTGTAATTCGTTGCCATGGCGATTTGCAATCACTGTCGTACCACACTGCTTTATTACATTTTCTCCTGCGGAGAGCATAGCACTGCTGGCAGGAATAAATTCCTCTGCATTAACACTAAGTGCTGCCGTTGTGTTTTGCCCTGGGCTTTTTGCTCTGTCTGATTGTCTTGATGGGTTGTCCGTCGTGTTTGAAAACAGTGTGGGACAAATGCTGCGATGGTGTGTTTTTCTCTTGCAATGGAAGCAAGCCCATGGGTCTTTGCATTGGCGGGCACTGTGACCATCCCGCAAGCAGATAAAACATCTGCTACCGATTTCCGTTTTTCTTTCGTGAAGACCATTAAACTTTTTGCAAGTATCCGAGAAATGGGGACCCTTACAGTACCAACATTTTGGGATTCCTTTTGCGTGGGCAAGTAGTGTTTCTCCAGATGCCCGGAACGCACTGGATGGCGAGACTGGCGGTCTGAAACTTTCTGCTGATTCTGATTTGGCATCGAGTTTTGTTGTTTGTGGTTCCGCCCTTTCTCGTGCCCGGATGTATTGACCTAGAGCCTTGCGTAGTTCTGCAACTGTCCATTCCCCCGTTTTGGTATTGGAGAGTTCGAGTTGCAGCATGGTGCTCTCAGGCAGTTTCCGTTTGATTAGAGACACAAATATGTCTTGGTTTACATCCTGAGCAATTGCTGTCAGGCTACGCATGTGTGATTCGATGCCGTCATACAACTTGCGCAAAGATTGTGTTTGATGGGTTGCACCGGGTAAGTCAATTAATGCCACATAATGCGCGTCAACTTGTGATTGCTTATTGCCAAAACGGTCATCCAATATTGTAAGTGCCACGGCATAGTTGGCATCACTCACCTCAAGCCCAGATATGGCACTCAGGGCTTTGTCTTTAACCGTTTCCTTCAGGTAAGTTAACTTTTGAACATTTGACAACACCTTGTTTTCATGAATGGTGGACCGGAAGGTGTCCCAGAATTCTTTGAATTTTACCGGATCACCCCCGTATTTTTTCAGTTGTAATTTTGGTAGCTCCACGGTTTTTAGGGCAGAGGCATACTGACCGCCCTTGACACATTTACTTAGCAATTCCTGCGTTGATTTTTGCGTTTCCGTGTGGCTGGCAAGCAGTTTTGTAATTTCTGCGATGGCTGGGGTGTCTACCGGCAGACTGTGGGCCGCTTCCACAGGTTCTTGCTTGATTGCTGCCGGTCGACCAGCCTCTACCATTTGCTGTTCTTTCATGTCCACCATCATGGACTTCATTTGTGCCAAACGTTTGCAATACCTTGACTCTTCCATTAACCAATTTTCGTGTTCTTCTAAGGCCATTTTTTTGTTTTTTTGCCGTCTTTATCGACGGGATTCCATTCATACACCGCGATCCCATACCGTTCCACAAGGCACTCAATTTGTCCACATATTCTTTAAATTCAGTTAAGAACGCTCGCAGCTTACGGTATGTTGGTGTCGACTCTGCTTTAGCGTGCGACTCACTGTCGCTTTCATTACCGTCGTCATTGATAGCGTTGGCACTTGCCAGCCAAGCGTCGCATTGCCGTGTTTCGTCTTGGAACGCATCGATGTGCACAGCAAGCGCCCTACCGAGGGCCTTCACCGATGCCACAGCAGGTGTCATGATGACAGGCTGCAGGATCTATGGTCGGGTTTCGGTACCAATTTTATGTGGTAAAACACTTCACTTTATACTTGTACAATCATGCACACACTGTCGCGGACAGCTGGCCAGCAGCTGCCGCGACAACTTCAAGATGGGAGAGAGACCTGGTTCGTTGTCACTTCTTTCACCACATAAAGAACCTTGCTTGGAGAGAGAAAACTACCGAGAGAAGGACACGAAGCACTACAACAGAGCGCTTCGAAAAAGGATTCGCTCGCACGGCAGCGAACGCATGCCGTGCCAGCGTACTGTGTGCAAAAATGTGAAACCAAAAATAGATTATCATGATTTTGCTGCATGCAAAAGCCAGCCAGTTTGGGAAGTGCATCGTACGCGCGTAGCGATCCCGCGATCGCGTATCGCGGCTCCAATGGAGCGCTGCCAGTGCGTGCATGCAAATAAAGGAAAATAAATAAATCAGAAAAATGCAGTTCAAATAAATCGACAGTTCGATCGAAGAGATCATAATTCCACACATGCAATTCATTTCAGAACAAGATTATAGAGCGAAGCTAGTCATGTGTCAAGCTACCTCACTACAAATACTTACTATACCTAGAACTTAGCTATGGGCAGCGGACCTGGACCCTATCGCTCCTGGGATATACCTTAGGTAAGAGTGCGACGTAAAGACAAATTGTAAATACTGTAAATTCAAATTGCACTCGTAACATGTATTCAAATATTGACAGTCCGACATTCGCACATATTGCGACACGCCCCCAAACGCGCGCTCAGCCTTTCACAAAAAACAGCAATCCGAGTCGTATTTAGCGCGTGCGACACCTTCGAGTACTAATTTTTTGCCCCCGCCAGTCAAAGTGACTGGTATGTACGCTGATATGCGCCTGATACGCGCTGAAAATTCCAACATGTTGGAAGTTCCATTTGGGCGCGTTTCCGTACGCATGGCGCCCCAAAAGCCAGCAAAAATACGCACAAACGCGTAGTTTCACGCGTACACGCGCCAGTTATGAACACAGCTTTACACACTCCGTTCCTCGGCGTCCCACAGTACTGTACGCCTTGGAATTGATGAAGTCAGAAGTCAAAATCTAACGACAAATACTGACTTTTGGACCCACTCTGCCTATGGTATAGCATAGGGTGTAGTGGGTGTACCCCTCATGTAGCATGTACACATAGCTGTGACCTCTTCTCTAGCAGGAGTGAGTACCTGACCAGTAGAGACCGTGACCTCTTCTCTAGCAGGAGTGAGTACCTGACCAGTAGAGACAGTGACCTCTTCTCTAGCAGGAGTGAGTACCTGACCAGTAGAGACCGTGACCTCTTCTCTAGCAGGAGTGAGTACCTGACCAGGAGAGACCGTGACCTCTTCTCTAGCAGGAGTGAGTACCTGACCAGTAGAGACAGTGACCTCTTCTCTAGCAGGAGTGAGTACCTGACCAGTAGAGACCGTGACCTCTTCTCTAGCAGGAGTGAGTACCTGACCAGGAGAGACCGTGACCTCTTCTCTAGCAGGAGTGAGTACCTGACCAGTAGAGACCGTGACCTCTTCTCTAGCAGGAGTGAGTACCTGACCAGTAGAGACAGTGACCTCTTCTCTAGCAGGAGTGAGTACCTGACCAGTAGAGACCGTGACCTCTTCTCTAGCAGGAGTGAGTACCTGACCAGGAGAGACCGTGACCTCTTCTCTAGCAGGAGTGAGTACCTGACCAGAAGAGACCGTGACCTCTTCTCTAGCAGGAGTGAGTACCTGACCAGAAGAGACCAGGCCAGTGACTATCGGTGGATGCATGAGTAAGATGTAAAGGAAAACCACCCAAACGTGACTGGTAGTACTTGTGTTGAAGCGAGCGTATCTATAACTAACGAGCGAACAGTTCCACTAACGAGCGAGCTATGGAGCGAGTTAACATTCACATGCTTTGAACTTCCAGTGCCGACTAAGCATGACTTTCGCTCAAACGGCGATTCACTAGAAGCACTGACTGTACTATTATGTGCATGCTGTAAAGTATACGGTGCTCGTTAGTGCAAACGAGCTCGACGCACAAACGAGCCGAGTTTCTGGCGAGCGATCTAACGAGTGCCTGGTGAGATCCTTTCAACACTAAAATGGTTCGAATCCAAGTTGATCCAAATGTCATCATTGTCATGGCTCTGGCGTAGCATTGCACAGATGGGCTCCACCCGTGAATAGCTCCTCCCCCCCCCCCCCGGAATTGGTGATTTTTCGAGATTTTAGTGCCACGAAATTTGGAAGGAAACTTGAAAAAGGCCAGTCCAAAAGGTATCTCAACTGGGTTAAAATCGCATAATGTGCTGTTGCAAATTTTGTGAAACGGCCTGGATTTTCATGGTTTTCCCAATTCACTACTTTTGGCCCGATATCCCGTTCTTGCTAAGGCTTGCTTTCTGGAGAAATAGACGTCAGAAGCTTAATTGGAAAAGTATTACATACCGTAAAGTCGCGGATAAAAGCCGGGTTTGCAGACAAGCACATCGCGGATAGAAGCCTGAAAATCAAACGGGTCAAATGCATAAAAACATGTCGCGCGTAGAAGCCTGGCTTCTATGCAAATGCGGATCGAGGAAGGTCAAGAGTGCATACGCTATGCACAGTGCATAGTAAAACTGCCGCCGTACCGGTAGCCAGAAGTAGATCTACGCATGTCACGCGTAGAAGCCTGGCTTCTATGTGCACACAAGCCTGGCAAAAATATCAGTGGTGCATATAAGCATGGTTTGCATACAAGCCTGGTTTGCATTAAAGCCTGATGCAGAAAGCGCCTTATGTGCTTATAAGCCCTACGGCTTTTATCCGCAACTTTACTGTAAGTGAAAATGGAAGAGTATTACATAATTAAAATTGCAATGGGATAAACTTAAAAATCAAGGTCTATAGTTATGGGTAGCAACAAAGACCCAAGTGTCATCAGTATGTATTGCTTTTTTTGTATTTAAAGAGTCGGCGTGGAGAAAGCAACTTTATTAGTGCAATAAAGAGTATAATAGATGCAGACATGGCCAGACAACAACGAGTTCATGGATTTTAAAGGATTGTTATGTTATTCAAAATCGATTTTTAAGTTATATATTTTAGCACGATGTTTGACACCTATTATGTAATGCTGTAGCACTTCCCTTTTTTGTTCACACTTTTAATTATGCTGTTTTCATGTTCTTTTTTGTACACAGTATCCTCAGTTCCGATACTATTCACTGATGAGCGGAACACGAAAATCGATTTTGAATAACATAAAAATCCCTTAAAATCCATGAACTCGTTGTTGTCTGGCCATGTCTGCATCTATTATA